TATTTGAAGTTAGACTGATATGTAATATAATAGATAAATTCTATTCGTCATAAATATACTTTCATTCTAATCAATCATGTAACTGATTGGATAACTACACTTTAATATGATTTCAATCGGGTAACTACAAATTTTTATTTGATTTTTATCAAGTAACTATACACTAAGTGGGAAAAATATTTCCCAATCGAAGAATGCCTGAATTTTCAAAAGTTCATTGTATGGTTCAGGTAGGAGTTTGGAAGCTCTGAGCTTGTTTCAAGAGATGAAGGAGAAAGATTGTGAGCCAAATGTTCAATGAAATGTTAGATAACAGGTTGGTTCCAAGTGTGGAGACTTTTAATGCTTTGATTCACGGGTACTGTAAGAGGGGATTGATTGATGCTGCTTTTGATATATTTGCCATGATGGAATCAACTAATTGTCGTCCAGACAATGAGTTAATATCTGGATTTTGAGAGGTAAAAAAAGTGTACAAGACATTTGCACTTCTTAGTAAGATGCTAGAGCAGAAGATGTCTCCGAATCTTCTCACTTTTAACTTATTAGTATGTGGACAATGTAAAGAGGGTGATATAGATAGGGCTTTTAGCCTGCTCAGGTTAATGGAAGAGAAAAATGTAGTTCCTGACCAGTTAACTTGTGGTGCTCTCATTAATGCATTATCTGAAAGGAGGGTTGAAAAGGCTTATCACATATATTGCTCTCTCAAGAAGAATGGTGTAAATATGAGTGAAGTTATATACTGTACTACTCTGATTGATGGATTCTGTAAGGCAGAGAAGAATGATTTTGCCCTAACTTCGTTTGAAGGAATGAGTAGTGAAGGCTTCCGTCCGAACTCATACACTTACAATGTGCTGATTAGTGGGCTGTGCAAAGAGAAAAAAACTACTTGAAGCAGCAAAATTTCTGGAAAAGATGCTGGAAGAAGATGTGAAACCTACAATTGTTACTTAACACTATTCTTATTGAGCAAATGTTAAATGAATATGTCTTTGATCATGCTTATAGGGTATTTCATCAGATGGTTTCCTTGGGAAATAAACCTGATGTTTGCACATACGCTTCATTCCTTGTTGCGTACCGCAACCAAGAGAAGTTGAAAGAAGCGGAGGAAATGATGGCCAAAATGGAAGTAGAAGGGGTGCAACCAGATTTCAAGGCTTACACAGTATTAATTGATGGATATAGACATTCAGGTTTACTAGATCGTGCTTTTGATACAATCAAATGTATGGTTGATGCTAGATGTGAACCATCTCATTATACCTACTCTGTTTTAATCAAACATCTCATACATGAGAAACAAATGAATGGAAGTAGTTGTTGAACACGAGTTGATCCAAAAATGGATTTAATTAATATTGTGGATGTGTGGAAAAAAAAACAAACGAAACTCCAAAATTTCTCCACCTGGAAAAATAAGTTCGACTGTATCAGAATAAACCAATCTTTTCATTCAGTACCAAAACTCTCCACCTCACAAAAACATCATCTCTGCCCAGTGTCCACAAGCGATACCCAAACCCAACCCTGGCTTTCCAAAATTTCAGCAAAAAATTCAACAAATAGCAAATAGGGTCAAAGTATACCCTGTAGCAGAATTCATACCAAATGCTTGAACTGAAGGCCCCTTACTAAAACTGTCACCTTCAAACACCCCGAAAGCATAATCACACACATTTGAAACATGGTACCTATACTCTATGAGTCATCCCCTACTGAGAGCCCAACACGAAAGGTATTGTACCGAATTGGATCTCTTCTACAGTACTAAACCTGTCCAGATGTCTTTTCATTGGTTCACGCGCCCCTGCACGATATACATTTGAGAACTCTTCTGTCCTTCGACCACCCCCTTTGGACCTTCAAGAATGCACCTCCGCAGGAGAATATGTACCCCATTAGAATCCAGGGTACTCAGCGAAATGAGATTCTTCCTTAAGCCTGGAACATGTCGAACCTGGCCAAGAACTTGAACTGTCCCATCAAATAACCTCAATCTGACCCGACAGATTCCAGTAACCCTACAAGATTGGTTGTTACCCATGACAACTCCATCTTTCTTCACCGTTTCAAATGTTTCAAACCAGGCCCCTATTGGGACACATATGAAACAAACACACTGAATCCAAAATCCACTCCTCATCCGGCTTAGATTCCATGTCAGATACGATCAGCACCACATCTTTGCCAACCGAAAATCTCTCGACAATATTAGTCTCGTTTGAATGATCAGATTGTCTCTCATGATTTGTAGATAAATTACATTTACCATGCAACTTATCGTAATCCTTCTTGATGTGTCATTTTCTCCTGCAGTAGAAGCAAACCTGATTGTTGAAGTTCACCCTCGACCTACCCTTCCACCAATCACCATAGGAAACCAGAGTTTCCTCATCCCTAGCTCCAACGATATACTTCATCTTTTCCTTTGAAAATAAAGCGTCATACGCATTTTCAATGGTGAATGTGTCACGATTGCACAAGATCGTGTCCCTGAACGAAGAATACGAAGCAGGCAATGAGCACAATATGATCAAGGCCAGATCCTCTTCATCATACTTGACTTCTAACTTTTCTAGATCAGCGAAGATTTCCTTGAACACGGCCAGATGGTCCTCTAAAGAACTCCCTTCTGCCGTGTGATGAGAATAAAGCCTCTACTTCAGATGCAACTTACTCGTCAATGTCTTCGTCATGCACAGTTGCTCCAATTTTAACCACAACATAGTAGCTGATTTCTCCTTAACCACGTCCTGGAGAATGTTGTTAGAAAAATGAAGATAAATCACAGACAGCGCCTATCGATCCTTCTGTTGCTTTTTCTCTGTTGTCCAAGTTGTTGGCATTTTATCAAAACTCAACAGAGCATCGTCCAAATCCATCTGTACCAGAATTGCTTTCATCTTTACTTGCTACAGAGAAAACCTTGTATTGTGATCCAAAAGCAGAATGTCATACTTCGTGGCAGCCATCGAAACTAGAAATCTCAAATAAATTCAATAACCTGTAGCTCTGATACGACTTGTTGACCTTTGAACCTACGTGTTGTGAAAAATCGAAAGAGATTAATGGATCAATATGAAGTATTGATCGCTTACCAAATAAGAACATGATTTAAAGTAAAGAAAAGAAAAAAATTGACAGAGGAACCGATATTTTATTAAACAACGATTGGAGAAAAAATACAATTTCAGCTCTAAAAAAACTGAATAAAGAGTCTACTATTTATAGAAAAGATGTCCAAACCCAAAATGGAAATAAGATAAAAACAAATCAAGTGAAATAAAGAAAACAATATTTTCCCAATAAAATATGTGAAATAAAGGCAATAATATTTTTCCAAATACGTGCAAAGAAAGAAAAGTATATTCTCAAAAAATTTCTACATAATTTGGGTCACAAAATCTAACAGACTTTGCCAAGAAGGACGCCTTGAAGATACCTGGAGGTTGGTTGATCATATGAAACAATGTGGAATGGCTCCTGTAAGAATTTACAGCATTTTTTAACATGAATTTCGGGTCAAGAAACTTACTTGAAATGACGAATTCCTAAATCTTTTGATGGTTGAATCACAATGCATTCCAAAACTCCAAAATCTGCATGCGCAGCATTCTCTAAGATGATATTCTGGTCAAGAAACTTACTTGTAATGATGAATTCCAAGATCTTTTGTTGGTTCAATCACCTTGCTTTCCTAAGCTCCAAAATCTGCATTTCTTGTTTTTCAGTGGTCCAAATCCCAATCACAATGGAAGGAGATTATTATCTACAATCTAAGTGTCAATTTTTGTGAGATTTCATCTCCAAAATATGATTCTAATGACTTTCCAATTTTTGTGTAAATTCTCATACGAATTTTTCCTTCATTTTTCATGTCATTTTTCCCTCTTTTTCCAATGCACGATCATTGAAGGTTGTATGTGAGTTAATGGTGGTTATATGGAGTTGCATGTTTGAACTTCAATTCAAACTCCCTCCAACCCTTTTAGACCTGTATTTTTCTAACTGCTCCTAATGAAAATATGTATAACACACTGGTGAATTGTTGTTGCAAGTTGAAAATGTACGATGAAGCAATGAAGATACTTGATACCATGCTCAAGCTTAGACTTCTACTACATTTAGAATCCTATTGTTTGTGGATTGTATGATGAAAGGAATCATAAGAAAGCTAAATCTGCGTTCTATATGCTTTTTCAATGCGGATAAAATTATGATGAAGTTGCTTGGAAGCTTCTGATTGATGGGTTGCTGAAAAGGGGGCTTGTTGATAGATGCTCTAAGCTAGTAAACATCATGGAGAAAAATGGATGCTGGCTTATTCCGCAAACTCATACAATGTTAATACTAGGGTTTCTTGATGAAAAAAAGGGCATGTAGAATATAATTTCCTTACGTAACATTTGATTGGTTCTTCGCACTGGTAAGAGTTATTTTCATAAGCATCTTGCTTATGTTTGCGTAGGCCAAAGATGGATATATTATGATGAGAAACTTGAAATAAATGTTTTCACTTTACCTTTATCCAGTAATTACCTTTTCTTATCCTAAATGGCAATTGTGATCAAATGACCAAATCACTTCTCATTGAAGTTTTCAAGGATGGCCACTCTATACGGCAGGAAAACATTCCTCCAACAAATATGAGGCAAGTGATCATCTTCTTTCTCAAAACTTTTATGCTGGACTTATATGACCTTTTTTCCTCCTTTATCAATCATTTTAATAGGTAATTGATCAATTTCTCCCTGTATGAGTTGTTGACTTAGCTAGCCTATTTGATCCTTGTGGTTTGACCAATTTTAGGTCGAGTGCAATGAATCTTTTACAATTAAACCGAAGCATATTTGCAAGACTTGTTAATTCATACAGCTTCATTTTTTAGAATTAGCAATGATTTGTGCATATTGTTTGATGATGATGACAAATGATGACATGAACAAGAGGACAAGGAGGAGAATAGAGAGAAAATAAGAAATTAGATTATTAAGAAAAACAATTTATTTTTTAAAAAAAGAAGTACGTTTTGGCTGGCTTTTGCTAAGTGTAGAATATTATTGCAAGACAAGATGAAGTTTTTTTTTTCCTTCCCATAATGCAAATAATTAACTCTTCTCCCACTTATCATCTCTCTGTAGATCTTGTTTACTTTGGAGCTCGGCCTTAAGCAAGTTAAAGGAAAGAAGGTACCAGCTCTTCGGGATGTAACATTGGTTTCTCTTTCTTTGCCTGTCCTTTCCCTTATGTCTAAGATAGATCATGTATCTATGACTTTTGGAGTAAGGGATATGCCACACATTTTTGAAATACCATAACATGGAGGCACAAGTTTCCTATTTGACTATAGCTCATTGATTTGCTTTGCTTTTGTTGCAGATACATGCTAGACTTTCTTTTTACACTTACACCAGCTAAATTAGTTAATGATTTTACCATTATTTATGGTATGCCAAGAATATTATAGGGTAGAGAAAGTTTAACCAATAAGCTAAGAATAATGCTACGTAACACCACTAGTGTCTAGTATTAGTTTACATGGCAACACAGTGGCATTGGATGAGAGGTCTAATACAAATTAAATAATGGGTCCAATTAAATGTAGAGATGTGGGACCCATTTTATTATACCTTTCATGTAATGCCATTGTATTGGGGTGCTAAACACTAGCGGTGCTACATAGCATTACTCATAAGCTAAGTGTCCATCTTCAAAATGGTTGATGTCAATGATTTATGGGATCGCCTTTTTGTTCTTCCTATCATGTATAACCAAAGTCTTGTAGAACTTTATTTCAGAGTAGCACACATCATACAAACGTCAAATTTCATTTGTATTTGAGTGGGGTATCATGTAAATGGGAATGACTGCGGCTAAAAATGAATGTGAT